TTTTTTTTTTGCTAATTATAGTAGAACAAAATAAAACTTATGACGTTTTTTTAACTTGTTTGATAATTACAAGAACGTACTGAATTCTCTGCCCAAAAACCGAGCTATTGCTACTGATTCGCCAATCTTAACTCCATCTACTTCCAAAACTGGTACCTGACCGAGCGGCATATCTACAGTTAATTTTACTAATATAAATTTCTGAGCATTGCCGAAATAAAATTACACCAAAAATCAAGACAGCATTGAAAGAACTTCGAGAAGAAAGCTGGAAAGTACGGTAAAATCACTGATGTATTGTATCACAGTTTACAGATTATTTCTAAATTCCAAAAGCGTCTCTGAACAAGAAAAATATGCATTTGTGGTACTTCAGTTTTGAGTTAATCTAACTTACATCAAACGTTATCGAAGCTGATACGCTGTATGTCAAAACGTAAAAAAATTTAAACAATCGGAGAAGTGGCACTATCGCTGAACTTCTCTCACTTATTCAAATTTTCTTTCAACTGATTAGCACTCAAGTGAACATTCAGTGGTATTTCGATCTGATAAAATTTTTAAAAATTGAAGAGTATTTTCTAGAATTGGAAGATAATCGTAACACTTTCTACAAATATCATCATGGGAGTGAAAAATTTTTCTGTTCTGCATATTAATATTAAGACTTCGTCACCGCAGTTTCATTTACAAGATAACCTAATTGAATTATCTCCGAAAGTTCTACCAGAAATGTCAAAATCTCAAAATTGTTATGAATTTTAAGATTAAAACTGAAAAATTCGAAGTATTTTAAGACATACCGTCTTTTTGTTGAGGCCATGTTTCAGCTGTAATTCGAATATCTTCAAACTGTATTCCGGCTAAGGCAAACAACTGCCTAATGTGTTCAGCTTTACCGCGAGCATCGAAATAGTATAACTTATATACTGGCATGTTTGACAATCTGAAAATTTTAAGGTTAGTCACTGTAAAAGTAGATAAGTGAAAAACAAGACAATAATGTCAACAATACGAATATTTGCCAGAAACTTCAATCTATGAAACAATATCTATGACAACTGTTGAAGCAGTTGTACCACTGTTGATAAAAATTATAATTTTTTCTGCAACATAAATATTAATGAATAAACAGACTGGTAAATAATAGAGATTGTTCTAAAGCGGATTATCGAAACAAGCATCAAGCCGTATATGAAACCGATAGACGCAGTTTCATCAGTATAATTTTAAAGAATTCAAATTAAAAATGAGGGTCAGATAACAGCTGTATTGAATGCTGTTTGGCGAGTATCACACCAATTTTGGAGGGCTGAAAAGGCGACTGATCATTAAAATGTTTCTGCACGAAACCACCAGTTTTGAACTCTTTTTATGCCTCTATGCATTAATGTATTAGCAATTTTTTTCATATTACGAGCAATTTTTGATGAAAACAATAATCGAACATATTTATATTGTTCTGTAGTGCACGACAGTAACAGAAAAAGGCTATCTGAAAAAAAAAAATAAAATTGCTTTACTCAAATTAAGATTTAATTAACCAAATAAATTATCATTTGAAATTCTTCTTCGTACAAACAGTAATTGCCAATTGCAACCGTAATTTAAGCAGCTTCTTTTTCTCTGAAATAATAGTAAATAGAAAGAAAATTTATTAGGCAAAATGTGAAAGTACGATAAAAGTGAAAATAAAATTTGTAGTGTCAAGATATATTCTGAAAAATTTAAAATCAAAAATTGAACTTTGACAAGCACAAACAAAATGTCTCTCAGTTAGTTAAACTGAAATTTTTTGCCAAATTTCTTCCACCTTCAAACTGATGCAATTCTGTTACCTGTCTTTTCCTTCCTTTTCTATTCTTTTTTTTTTTCATTTTTATTTTTTGATCAAATACTTTTCTAGAATTGTCACAACTGGTTTACTGCCAAACATTGGCTAGACATGACTGTTGACTGTTCAACCAGTTTCATATGAAAATTTTTTATTTCGCTATTCCAGTAGTGTTCCTAATCAATGGCGTAAAACCAACAATTACTTACTTGCAAGAGGAAAGTTCTCGCAACTCTGGAAATTATACTTTATTTGCTACCTTTTTATTTTGGTGTTCTATGGCGTTCTAGAAGCGGCAAAGACTAATATGTAAAGTTTTTTGCACTAAGAACTTCTGTTTCGCTGTTGGCTTTCTTCACAAATTTTGTCTGTTTTTCATTTAAAACACTAACACTTGTTTTCTAAATCTTATTATTCCCTTAAGAGGTGAAATATTCACTTGAAGTAGAAACTGCTACCACTTTTCTGATGCTCTTTGTTGCCTCAGTAAGGATTGGTACTTTTTACTGCTTGGCTAAATATACAGAAGAATCAAAATTTTGTCATCTATTGAACATCGTATTTGTATTATAGGGTTTTTAGGGTATGCCGTCGCTCTTCTTCTCTGCTTAAATAGTCTACGATTAAGTGGTATTCGCATTTAGCAAAACAGGTCCAGAGTTCGCGAGGTTTTTACTCAAGAAAAACGTAAATTGAAATATTTGCTTACAAATTAAACAATTAGGAATTTCTAAAAAATATTGTCAGTAAGATTTTGAAATCTTTACGGCTTTTTAGAGCCTGGTTTTTGTCACAATGCGTTTAATTTTCTTCTAAGACCTTCATCCATTCCTATCTCTGCTTTTCTCATAACTTTTTTTTTTCTTTTGGAGATTAAGGAGCAGCATCCCAATAAGGTCTTTTTGGCCTGTACCTTTTCTTTATGCTATTAAAATGCTTTCGGAGATCACTGCTTGTTTGAAATTCTTGGAACAAGCGAATGCTGTTTTTGCTGAGGCACTTGCTGACACCGTTCATGACATATGTGGGTTGAAAATTATGAAAGATTTTTGAGGAATTTTTTTTTCGAGCCTTCTTAAAATAAAAGACGATTAATCATTTTTATTTAGTATTTGTTCATCTTTTACTTTCAATACGAGATTCTTTTTTTCTAGTTAGTTTTTTCTGATTTTACTAGGGTCTTACTGTACTACTACAGCCTTTCTTATCCACCTCAGAAATTCTTCCTATTTAGATGCCAGGTTTTATTTAGTTTTAAGTCAGTGATCGTTTTTATCATTAACTTAAGTGTTGGTAATTTCATACTGGAAAGTAACATTTATTTTATATAGCTATTTATAAACAACCTGACCTCTTTCTTTCACTCTGGGAAATAGCTTTATAAAGTGAGACAAATAATAGTATTGGTCTTCTGTTAAAAGCACTTATTACAGAGTCAGTAGATGCTATATAAATAAACATTTAAACTTTCTTGATTTAAGAAATTTGATATTTTTAGCTAAATAGGAGCTCTTATAGCTATTGTTGAAGTTCTAAGTAAAAGTTATAGGTTTTGGACGAGAAGGTTTTAAGAGTAAACGTTGAAAATGGTAATGTAGTGAGGCATAGTGTGCAGTTCTAGGTAATGTAGAATATTTTTGCTTCGTCTAAGAGAAAGAAGAAAATGCAGTCACTGAAAGTTGTAAAAAGTAACTGCCCGGAGTAGTTATATAATGTGTACGTGGATGAAAGCAATTGTAAAGGCATCTCTTAAACTTCGATGTTGTTCGTGTATCTGACTTGAAGATGTATTTTTACTATTTAGAGGCTAGGGCTGCAATCGCGCGTGCAGCTTCTGTATTCATTCTTTATGCATCCTCCTATGCGCAAGAATGCGCAGTTGGAAATAAAAGGACAACTGTGACTGCTGCCGACGTTATCACTGCGATTAGTAAACTTGAGTGCGACGACCTGGAGAAACCAGTAATTCACTGTTTTAAAAAACTTCAAAAATCATGAGTGTAATTTTATTAAAGTTAGCTTTCTAGTTAAAAGAAGCGGTTGAAGTTTGGAAGAGCACAAGACAGCAGAAATTGGAAGAGGCGAAGAAACGAAAAGTTGAAAAAGCTTAACAGCAAGCTAGTAATTCCGGAGGTTCTACCGAAACACCTTCGTTTTCCACAGTGGAGGAGGCTAACACAGGTAGTTCATGAGGCTCTTTAATTTATTTAGGGAACATTATTTAATGTAGTTCATTAGAACCTTTCTGCGTTTTATTTTGCTATATCTGTTTTTTAATCTTATATGCAGTATTTGATCTTTTTATGCATTGTACACAACAAGATTTAATTTGTTACGTTTATTTGCTTGAATAATAATTTGTTGTTCTTTTTTTCTTTGCTCAGTTTATGTTACAACCAAGAAAAAATTAAAAAGGATGTCGGATTTCCTGACACAGTGGACAGAAAAAGTAATTTGTCTAAAGAAAAAGTGATTGTTATTGTTGGATCAAGCCTGATTTAGTTTTGAAAAAATTTCTAAATTAGGTTTAATGGAATGAAACGACAGGTGAATTATGATGACGTTTTGGCTGGACAATGAAGTAATAAAACGTTGTCTACTTACTAAAGCCCATCTTTTATTGTGCAAAAAAGTTACAGTTTCGAGAAATTAATCTACAGATACCTAGCCTTGAGCTAAACCTTCATCTTTCCCCTGCATCACGTTTCAAAGTGTGAAGAACGAGAACTAAAGTATTGAGAAAATAACGTTTACGTGATTTTTCACTGACAATTTGATTTTCTTTATTAAGAATATAAGGAAAATAATTGGAGTTTTATTGGAAATAACGGCAAACAAGCAGCTCAGGTAAAGGGCAAATAGATGGCGATAAAGAATTACTGTTGTATTTATTTGAGAGAGATTTGGTTAAAAAACGATGTTTCCTTTGTCATTAAAACATTAAAACTTGATGAAGATATGATAACTCATTGAATTGATTTTTTTTTTTGAAAAATGGTTTTTTATTCATTAGAGTGACTAGATGGAAGATCATTCTTGTGGGCAGCAAATATATTATTTTCAAAGATAGCTGGAAAATTTTTTTGGCAGAGGTACATGGAGAACAAAATGTAGATTTTCTAGCATATTTAAACTATAGAACAGGACGGTTAGTTTTAGACAGAGAAGAATTTTGTTTATTACAACTGTGCTTTCATTGCCAGAATTTTTTGGTAGTTTCAGGTACTTTTTGGTAAGTTAGGTGTGGACCAAAGTTTTGTCTTGTTGCTGCATTATTATATGATTATATTTCATCTACTGTGGTTAGCGATAAAGGTAATCGACAAAAGAAGTCATTTGTAGCTTGGAAATTTGAACTTCAAGTACGGCTTTCAGCGAAGGTGCTATACTTACGAATCGAATAAGCATTGCTGAGGCTTGGAGGAGTGCTATATTATACAGAAGATAGCAAAGAAGTGAACACACGTGAAAAAATTAGTGGTTAAACGCGTTGTCGTTAAGTGAAGAAATCACGTACCAGTTTTATTCGTTTTAACCCACAACTCCTCTCTTTCTGATGACAATAAGTTCAGCTTTACTGCAAACATCAAAGTAATATAATTTATATACTGGAATATTGCTTATCTAAAAAATTTAAAGAAAGTTTGAAACGTACAAGCATTGATCGTAAATCGCAGTCTATAGATCGAGTATTCGACAGCTGTTGAAGAAGTTTTACTGATGTCGCAAAAAATTGCAGGTATTCTTTGAATAAGAATGTTGCTGATCAAGTAAACTAATAAAAATAGAAAGTGTAATGGAAAAGATTGACAAAGGGAGCAATAAGCTATTTACCAAGTCATTGAAGCAGTTTTATCAGTATAGTTTTGTAGATTTTAAATTAATAATCATAGTCAGCTAATATATTAAATGTTGTTTGGCAAGTATCGCACCAGTTTCAGAGAGCTAAAAAGAAGGCGCAAAACCACTATCTTTAAACCGTTTTTTTTTGCATATGAACAGTAATATATCGTCATGTTCTCATATATTTCAAGTTGGATATAGCAAGCATGTTTATTATTTCATATCACAGTTCACGGTGTTCGTATGTCACACTAGTTCCGAGAGCAACAAATATTGTGCATTAAAAATAAGGTTAAATTTAG